AAAAAATGGTACTTGAAAACCAGTGATTGGCTGTTGCAAGAAGTGATCCATTGTTTTCTAGATGTGGTTTTCACGAGAATTAATTTGCAAACTTTTGTGTTCCACAATTAACATCTGTCAGTCATCTATAGTCACGATCCTTTCCGATCAGTCCTGGAGACGTGCCTTTTCATTTTTTCTCTGCCCAACTGGCATCATTGTGCTATGTCTGATGAGCTCCAAGGCTAAGAACCAAGCAGAATTACATGATTGCTTGTACTACCAGCAGCTTGCTGTGGTTTTTGCCACTTCACAGCTCCATGCCTGATTGCGGCACACAAAATAAATACTTTCCCAATTGTTCTAGTACAAAGGTACAATGTCTAGTTTGTAGTCTAACATGATAAGGAGCCTTGGTGGCACAGTGGTTAGAATGCAATATTGCAGGCTAACTCTGCCTGCGACGTGGAGTTCGATCCTGACGGGCTCAAGGTTGACTCAGCCTTCCATCCTTCCCAGAGCAGTAAAATGAGGACTCGTATTGTTGAGGGCAATAGGCTGACATTGTAAACTGCTCAAAGAGAGCCATCAAGCACTATGAAGCGGTATATATTCGTCCAAGTGCTATGGCTATTGTTATAAATGAGTGGCTGTTGTGTTTGCAGATATTCAGACAAGAAAAAAGCAGGTGTAATTTGATGTCTTCTGTTTTCTCCAGTATTGACTGTGCAGGTATTCTGAAGCTCCGCAATTCAGACATAGAGCTTCGGAAGGGGGAGACGGATATTGGAAGGAAAAACACAAGAGTGAGGCTCGTATTTCGTGTCCATATCCCACAGCCGAGTGGGAAGGTCTTGTCCCTTCAGGTTGCCTCTATACCTGTTGAATGCTGTAAGTTTGCTCCTTGTTTTGGCTGGTGGGGGAAATAGTTACATCCATAAATATTTCAGGAATTAAGTTTGGACTTCATAAGAAATATTGCATCGAGGAAGCTTTTTACCTTCCTGCCCTGGGACTTTTAGAAAGCTCCCTGGTATATTCATCTGTGGACTTTGCTTCTGAGACAGGCAGTTTTAATCTCTTCTTTTTGTCAAATGCGACCAATCATGGTGTAGGGCTGTGATGGCAACCTATGGCAAGCATGTCATAGGTGGCACACGGAGCCATATCTGCTGGCATGTGAGTTGTCAGCTCCAGTGTGCATGCACGCACCGGGCAGCTGATTTTCGGCCTTCTGGAGGGCCGTTTTCGCTCTCCCAAGCCTTTAGGAAAGCCTCCGGAGCCTGGAGTGGGCGAAAACTCCCCTGCGTGGGGGTGGGGGTGTTGCACACGCATGCACAAGTGGGCAGGGCGCATTGAGTTGTGGGTGCGCGCATGATAGCACGTGCACTCATAATTTTGGCACGACTTTACAAAAAGATTCGCCATCACTGGTCTAGGGTGTTTAGCAAATCCAACCTGTGTGCTTAGTTCATGGTCTGCCAAACAATTTCTGATTTTTTTTTTTGAGTTAACAGATTATACTTCAACTAAATATAAGAAAGTGTGTTGCATATGGGAAATAAAAACAGAGAAGGCAGGGGGGAGAAGATACGATAAGAATCACATGTGTATACGTTCTTATGCATTTTTGTATTTCTCTTGGATAAAGCTCAGAGATCGGCTCAGGAACTTCCTCAGATAGAGAAATACAGCATCAGCAGTTGCTCCGTAAACGGAGGCCATGAAATGATTGTTACAGGCTGTAACTTCCTTCCAGAATCAAAAATTTTATTTCTGGAAAAGGGGCAAGGTAAGTCAACCTGCTGCAAGTAACAAAAAAGGTTTGTTTCTGGAGTTGATGGAACATAGCGGACAATGGCGAAATTCTTTTTTTTTTACTACCGGTTCTGTGGGCGTGGCTTGGTAGGCGTGGCAGAGGAAGGATACTGCAAAATCCCCATTCCCTCCCCACTCCAGGGAAAGGATACTGCAAAATCCCCATGCCCTCCCCACTCTGGGGCCAGCCAGAGATTGTATTTACTAGTTCTCTGAACTACTCAAAATTTCCCCTACCGGTTCTCCAGAACCTGCTGAATTTCACTCCTGATACCAGAATGTCTAAGCTGCATTCAATCACATCCTTTTACCATGCAAGTGCAAATTCTGTTTGAATCCCAAAGGATCCTGATAGAGCATCTGGGTGGTGTGAAATGTAGGACTCTGTGTTTAGGTACATTGCTAATTTACCCAGTTGGTATTATTGCTTGTAGGCACTCTCTTCCCATAGAGCCAGATCAGTCCCATGCTTAACTGTGGAACTGACAATGGTGTAATTATAAGTTGAGGATATGTTAAGCTGAGGACTTTTCAAGGTGGCTGAGATCAGACATAGGATGAAATCTATTTGAAGATCTCTTCTGCAGCACCAGAGACGGTGAATTTGTAGTCCTCTACGCCACGGCTTCTTTGCAGAAAATCATCACATTTTGTTTTGCAATATGCAGCATTTTTTAAAACCACAATTTAGCGCCAGAGCAGTCAGTGACTCCTTCTAATTTGCATATTGTGTGCAGAGGAAATTAATCGGATCCCAATGGCTTTGGATTTCAGTGTTGGGGTGGATTATAAGAATCTGCTGGCCTTGTTATTCTGGATTATTTTCAGTTTGTAGATTTCACAATAGGACAATTTGGCAGCAGGAAGGACTACTGTCTGTTTTAGATTCCTTTCTTCTTGTTGCTTGATTAAACTGGACAGATTTATCCTCTCTTTGACTTGATAGATTTGTACAGTTAGAGCCAGTCACATACATGGAGGGAGAAACCGTTTTTCTGTTGGGCAATGGAATGAATCTCTTCAAGAGTTTCCCTCCCTTTTAATTTTTTTTAAAATATAAACTGTAAATAAATGTTTCTTTCCAAGCCTTTTATTTGGTAGGTATTTTGTTTCTTTCAGCCTTCTGCATTTTATTTTTGTTTACAATACTCAGTGCCTTAAATATTCATTGAAATAGAAACATAGGATATAAATTAATATAATATATTTGTAAACGCAACATCTAGTGTTACATTTTGCTG